ACAATAATGATGGGACCAGCAGTTAGTGTAATGGTTAAGGCACGGAATTCCCATGTGGTTGACCGTGGTTCAAGTCCCAGCCCAGTGGCTAAAACTCACACTGGCTGCGTGTGCATGTGTGCCCAAGATCCCAAGAGAAGAAGAGTGGAATGGATTGCGGCGTGGCCATCCCCCCTGGGGGGTGATTTCTTGCTTTCTATCTCTCTGTCTCTCTCTTTCTGGCAAGCACACGTGCCCTATAGCAAAAACCTCTAAAAGATAAATAAAATAATAATAATGATAAATAAAGGAAATTGGAACTGGGTGGTTACATGGTGATTAAGGGCACTGGACTCCCACATGGCCAACCGTGGCTCGAGTCCAAGAACTGGCAGCTTGCTTTCTCACTCCCCCCCTCGTTCTGACCCTCTTGGTCAAATTAAAAGAAATAAAGTTCAATAGAAAATATTTTTAAAAAATTATTTACTTTATTTAGAATTTTTTATTGAGCTTTATTTATTTATTCATTCATAGATACATATTTACATACCAGAGAAGGACAGAGTGAGAGAGAGCAAAAATGAGAAAGCAAGCCACTGGGCCCAGGACGTGGACCACAGTCAGCCACGTGGGAGTACAGAGCTCTTAACCACCATGCTGCCTGCCAGCCCCAGAAGTAATTCTTTAAAACAAAAATATTCTGGGGCCAGCAGGTGTGGTGATTAAGGTACTGGACTCCCACATGGCCAACCATAGTTTGAGTCTCAGACCTGGTGGCTTGCTCTCTCAATTTCTCTCTCTCTTTCCTTCTCTCCTCAAAAAATAATAACAAATAAAAAATAAATATTTTTAAAAATATTCTTGGGGCCAGCAGTGGCGTGGTGGTTAAGGGCACTGAACTCCCACATGGTTCACTACAGTTCGAGTCCCAGACCCGGTGACTAGTTTTCTCGCTTTCCCTCTCTTGCTCTGTTCCTCTCTGGTCAAATTAAAACAAATAAAGTTAAAATAATTCTTAAAAAGTTAAAATTTCTGAGAACAGCTGATAGCATAATGGCTAAGTTGCTGGACTCCCATGTAGTTGACTGTGGTTTGAGTCCCGGCCCTGGTGGCTTAAATTCACCCCGGGCACGTGTGCATATGTGCCCAAGATCCCGAGAGGAGAATGGAGGAGAAGGGATTGCGATGTGGTCATCCTCCCTGGGGGGTGATTTCTTGCTCTCGGTCTCTATCTTTCTGGTAAGCGCATGCACCCTATAGCAAAAACCTCTCCAAAAATAAATAAATAAAATTTCTACTTGAAAACAGAACAAAATACTGATACTTTACTCACTTTATTTATTTTTTTTAGTAAAACCAGGCCACTTTAATGTTTTTGTACATTAATAAGTAATCTTTTGATGACTGCAGACATGTAAGACTGGCTATTTTCAGAAACATCAGTCATGATGGTTTTCCAGATTGGTGTATCATCTTCAAAAATTACCAGGAGTTACTTGTATGCAACTGCTATCAAACTAGTAAGACAGCACTTATGCATCCATCATTTTCAGGATTGCTGGTAACTTGGGCATATTTCCCCCAAATAACCGTGCCTCCTTATGTCACAAGGCCCAACTCACTCACGTTCACCTCAATGACAGTATCTTTGGTGGTAACATCCAAAGTTGTATATAGTGGGGATGAAGGGTTCTTTACACCTATGTAACACATCCTGAACTGAAAGCCACCTTTCAGGATGTGTTACATAGGTCTTCTTGAAACATAAGCCTAATGAATCTTTCATATTTAGGTGGTTTTCTAGTAAAGCCATCTTCACATCTCCAACAAAGCAGACTTTTGTAACCATCCTCTTCCATGCCTTCTTCTTTCTCTTTCCTGTTAGAATAACTTTTTTTTTGAGAGGTTTTTGCTACAGGGTGCATGCACTTGTCAGAAAGGGAGAAATCACCCCCCAGGGGGGATGGCCACACTGCAGTCCCTTCTCCTCCATTCTCCTCTCGGAATCTTGGGCATGCATGCACATGCGCCAGGTGTGAGTCCAAGCCAATGGGTCCAGGAGTCGAACCACAGTCGACTACATGGGAGTCCAGCGACATAGCCATTACGCTAACTGCTAGTCCCTCGGATAACTTTTAACACTTCTGTTTCTCCCTGGGTTCAAACTTTGAGTAGAGGGACTTCCCATTTTCCCGCTTTCTCTTTCCGATTTTAATCATATTGGAAAGTACTTTAGCTTGGGACTGTCCTTCTCTGTCCAACAGATAGGCAGGTACTGCTCCTTGTGGAGTCTTTTCATCAATCTTCTTTTTGGTGTTCCTCTTTTCATACATCTTGATAGTCTTTTTCATTTGTATTTTCTCAGCATGGCGCAGTTTATGATAGAGTTCAGCCTCCAGACCAGTCATCGTTTTTGCCTTCCTTGAACATTTATGAGCCTCCTGACTATCCTTTCTCTTTTTCTCATGGTAATCTGTATAGTATCCATAGCGTTTATGATGTAATTCAGTATATTCGTTTTGTGGCATGTGACGGCTGCAGAGTCACCAGGAGCAGCCTCCTGGACGCAAGAAGTTGTTAACTTTCAGGTCTCAAGAGACCAACAAGCTGACCCTACGCGGTCTGGAATGGGAAAAGCCTCTTTTTAAATGATACTCATTGAACATTAAAATTGGAAACTAAAGATTTTGTAGATTTTAGATTTTTGAACAGTAGTTTCAAAGGTCTGCTTGAAGGTTTGTTTCTTTGTATTTTAGTTTTTGTTATAGAGTGTGTGCTTTGTCCTGGGAGGAGAGAGGGAAAGTAAGAAGTCCTTCCCTACACACACCCACACACACACACACACACCCCTGCCTACCTGTCTCCCCGGCCCCATGGATGGCACACTGCAATCCCTTCTCCTTGTCTCCTCTTACGACTTTAGGCACATAAACACATGCCCAGTGTGATTTTTTCTTTTAGAGACTTTTGGGCACGTGTGCTTGTTAGAAAAACAGAAATCACCCCAAGAGGGGATGGCCACACCACAATCCCTTCTCCATTCTCCTCTAGAAATATTGGACATACATGCACATGCACCTGGGGTACATTTTAAGCTACCCGTCTGGGACTCAAACTGTGGTCAACTATGTGGGAGTCCATTGAAGTAACCATTATGCCATCCACTGGTCCCCCCGTGTGATTTTTAAGCCAGGAGGTCCAGAACTCAATCCACACAGCAAGCCATGTGGGACCGAGGGCCTTAACCTCCACGCCACCTGCTGATGCTTGAAGTTTTTAAATGACTCAAGCTCTCAAGTAAGCTATTAAGCCTTCATGTAGCCATAATTGTATGATGTTAGACTAGGTACTTATGACTTTCAACTTTCTCATTGATTTTCATTTATTTTTCCTAAAGTTTTTGTTAGAGGGCAGGTGTGCTCACAGGAAAAAGACAGAGACAATGAAAAGGAAAGTGAGAAATCACTCCTCCACAACGCCATCCCTTCTCTATTGTCCTGGTATTTTGTTATGCCACACATCCTGTGAGTTTCAGACTGCCATGTGCAGAACTCAAACCGCAGTCACCCATGTGGGAGTCTATTGCCTGAACCACCATACCACCTGCTGGCCTCAGCACACTGAAATGTCGTAAAGTTTTGTTTCCTTAATTTTGCCAGTTTACTAGAGAGAAAGCACCCCTCAATGGGATATGGTCGCACCACAATCCCCTCTACTCCACCTCTCCTGTCAGGACCCTGGATACACATGTACATGCATGCAGCATGTTTTTCAAGCCATGAAGTTTGAGATTTCAGCTATGAGATCAGCCATGTAGGATCTGAATCTTTCAACCACCAGACCCTGGGGCCACCCCAATATTGTATTTAATGTAAATACTATAGGGCCAGCCAATGGTGCCAAGCAGCTGATTCCCACAGGGCTGACTTCACAGTTTGAGTCCGGACCTAGAAGCTTGAAAAACACACTAGATGCATGTGCATGCATATCCGAAATCGGGAGAGAATGGAAAAGGGACTGCAGCATGGCCATCCCCCTGGGAGGTGATTTCTCACCTTTCATGTTCTCTTTTGGCAGCACATGCACTCTATAGAAAAACTAAAACATTTATTAGAAGTGATAAAGTTAAAAAATGACATGAAGTGATACTAAGTTAGAAAATTCCTTTTCCTCACCCCCCAATCTTTGAGTGTCACAACTGTAGTTATTTATTTTGTTTGCCATAGGGTGCATGTTCTCACCAGAGAGAGACAGAGACAAGGAGAGGAAAATGAGAAATCACCCTCCAGGGGGGATGGCCTCAATTCCTTCTCCTCCATTCTCATCGGGATTTTTGGGCAATACACATGCACGTGCCCAACATGATTTTCAAGTGACTGGGTCCAGGACTTGAACTGCAGTCAGTCATGTGGGATCCAGCACCTTAAAACCAACTCCTCCAACCATAGTTTTTAAAATATTGACATTTAATAAATAACTAATCAGAAGGTTTTATTCTCTATTGGTTTGTTTGTTGTTTTTTTTTTTGGGGGGGGGGGAGGTTTTTGTTATAGGGCACATGCACTCGCCAGAAAGAGAGACAGACAGAGAGACAGAAAGGGAGAAATCAACCCCTGGGGGGATGGCCATGCCACAATCCCTTCTCTTTCACTCTCCTCTCGGGATCTTGGGCATGCACGCACAGGTGCCCGACATGAGTTTAAGCCACCAGGTCTAGGACTCAAACCGTGGACAACTACATGGGAGTCCAGCGACATAGCCATTACGCCAACTGCTGGTCCCATTGGTTTGTTTTATAGTGCTGGGATACATTTAAAAATTAAGCATCAATGGGGGCTGGCAAGTGGCATGGTGGTTAAAGGCACTGGACTCCCACATGGCCAACCACAGTTCAAGTCTCGGACCTGGTGGCTTCCCTTTTCACTTCCTCTCTCTCTCTCTCTCTCTCTCTGATCAAACTGGAAAATAATAATGATAATAATAAATAAAAGTTAAATAAAATACTTCTTTGATTAAAAAAAATTAAGTATCAGTACTGTTTTAGAAGGATTGACACTGATTTTATATTAAATATGGTTTACATTGGGTTGCCAAATGCACATTTTGTAAATTCTCCATTAAAATATTTCCAAAATACAGATACATCCTACTGCTATTGATCATCAGAATTTTATAGTCTTATCTTGCAAATATAGTACATATGTAATTAAGCAGTTAGTAAACATATAGAGATGAAGCACAAATAAGGCCCACAAAGTACTGCTGTGTAATGTATCTACCATCAGATTGATCAGGCCAGTTGTGACATTTGACAGCAAGAAAAAAAATAACTGGCTTTCATTCATAGCTGTGATTAAACAAAGACTGCGTTCCTTTCTTTCAGCTCCTAGAGATTCTGAATACTTTTTATTTGTAGCTAGTGACTGGGTAAGTTTCCAAGAACATGGCACCAGAGCCCCTTTAATTAGAAATTTGGCAAAACTCAAAATTATATCACCCAGTAATAAACTACTAAGAAGAATTAGACTAGAAGCAACTATCCAAATACAAAAGGCCAAGTTAGCCATTCTTCGAGATACTGCTTCTACATTTATTTGAACTACGTAAAGAGATGTGAAGAGGCTGGCGGCTGCCAACAGAAGACAACATGCTACTTTCATCCAGTCTTTGACAGGTGATTTGCGTTTAAGCACACAAGACCCTGTCTGTACACCAGCCATGTATATTGCCACATACCCGAATACAGAGATTATTCCTTCTCGGTTAGCATTTAGTAAGCCAACCCTTGTGCCACTGCCATCGGTGCCATACAAAATTAACCTCTTCAGTGGGGTAAAGTCAAGGGCTAGCTGGTATAATACAATAATGCTGATGGCCACAATCCAGGATTTATTTACGGGAAAAATAACCAAGAGCAGTGATGTTATCAATTTCACAACTATTAGGGTGAAAAAAAAGTTCCAATGAACTCCATACTCAGTTAAATGTTCCTGATAGCCTATTGATTTTATAATGATTAATCGGCCTACTCCTAGGAAGACTAATGGCCAAACAGAATACAGTGATTTTGCAAAATAATTAAATCTGGATCCTTCCATGTATTTTCTCCTCCTGATCTCTGGACAAACCATTGCAGTCCCAAAAACAAAGCCACCTACTCCAAAATCCATTGCTCCTGTTCCATAGAGCTCAGCTTTGGCAAATCTTCTGGGAAACAGTGGGAAGTCCACGGCCAAAATGGCAATAGCAGTAAATATACTGTTACTTACACGGAAGCAGGAGATGGCAGGAACATGTTCTGACTCCAGATTGACTTTTAAGAATTTTTCAAAGATTTTCTGGACAGGCACTTTGACATGACAAGTCCTCCTTTGGTATATTTGATACAACAGCCCTGCCCCAAAGATAGTTACAATGAGATACTCGAGGAGGACAAATGTAGACCAAATGGTCAAAGTGACCACCAGGGGAACTACCAGAATAACAAAGTCAATGAAAAACCGAGTTCTCCAGGTATGTGAAGAACATAAGCACTCTGAGAAGATAATAAGGAGGCCTCTGCACAAGACACAGAACGCAGGAAAGCACAAGCCCTCGGTGACTTCCAGCACGCTGGTTCCATTGAGGTTACTGACAAAAGCCTCCTTCATCTGTTTTTGAGACATTTTCTTTCTTCCTATGGAAACAAGAGCAGAAGAAAAGATTTGTGGAAAGCAATATTCTTGTGGAATTGGCCTATATGCTATCTGACTTTTATTCCTAGGTTTCAGAGCAGAACTCTGGACTTTAATGATTTCCAATCAGGAACAGAACCTAGGACTTCTGATCCCCCTTTCAAGGACTGGGAAGAAACCTGAAGCATTAGGGTAGCAATGTCACAGTAATAGTATGAAATTATTGGTTAGAAGGCTTTAGCTAGCCTCAGTAGAAGGCAGACTCAAATGAGTCTTAACCCCCATGCTACCTGCTGCCCCCCAGACAGCCACATTTCCAGTTTAGTGTGTACCTAGATAGAACAGAAGCATTAAGAATAGATGTAGATTGGACCAGCGGGTGGCATGGTGGTTAAGGCGCTGGATGCTCCCACATGGCTGACCACGGTTCAAATCCTGGACCTGGTGGCTTGTTTTCTCATCTTCTCTCTCTCTCTCTGTCTCTCTGGTCAAATTAAAAATGAATAAATAAAATTAAATAAATAATTTTTAAAAATAGATGTAGAGAGGCCAGCAGATGGCATAGCGGTTACCTTGGTGGACTCCTACATGGCTGACCGTGGTTGGAGCCTGGACCTGGTGGCTTGAATCTCACACTACGCGCGTGTGTGTGCATACCCTGGATCCTGGGAGAACGGAGAAGGAATTGTGGTGTGACCATCCTTCCTGGGGGGATGATTTCTCACTTTCCACCTCTCTCTGGTGAGTGTATGTGCCCTATAGCAAAAATCTTAAGAAAAAAAAGGGGGGGATATAAAACATATATAGCACACACTAGTGTTATCTGCCTTTATTGACTGATCGATTGATTTTTGCTATAAGGCATCTGCGATTGCAGGGTAGCAGGGAGAGGCTACACTACAATCCCTTCTACTCCATTCTCCTCGGAAATTTGGGCACACAGGCACCTGTGCCAGAGTGACTTTGAAACCACAGTTGGAGTGGTGTGGGACTCCAACCATGCCAACCCTTCAGTGGGCCAGCACCTTAACCTCCACACCACCTGCTGGCCCAGGCTGCTATCTTTAAGGGGATGAAAAACATCTCCCAGGTGGCGTGTTGATTAAGGTGCTGGACTCCCATGTGAGTGACCACGGTTGGAGTCCCGGACTTGGCAGGTTACTTTCTCACTTTCTCTCTCTCTTTCTCTGGTCAAATTAAATAATAGCAAATGGAATTAAATAAATAGTTATTAATTAAAAATCTCTCTGCCGCATATCCGTGTCTGAGAGGTGGCCCGCTGTAAGAGCGCATCTGTTGGTCAACCACGAACCACACAATGAATGCATGCACGCATCACGGCCTGTCGGAACCTGCAACAATCCTCACCGTAAGGGCCCGAAGAGGTTGGCTCTTTTAAGTCCTTCTGAACACCCACCTCTGCGCGCCCTGCCCTTTAAGCTCACGTGCCCCAGGCGGTGTGGCGCCCCGGGCAGAGGATCACGGGTGGAGAGGGCCAAGCCAGAGCCCCTGCAGAGGGCAGCGGCGAGGTGGGCCAAACCGCGGACCTCCCACCGCACCGCGGGACCCTGCGGGAACCAGCCGCTTCCGCCTCCCAGCAGCAATAAATAAAATTAAATAAATAATTTTTAAAAATAGATGTAGAGAGGCCAGCAGATGGCATAGCGGTTACCTTGGTGGACTCCTACATGGCTGACCGTGGTTGGAGCCTGGACCTGGTGGCTTGAATCTCACACTACGCGCGTGTGTGTGCATACCCTGGATCCTGGGAGAACGGAGAAGGAATTGTGGTGTGACCATCCTTCCTGGGGGGATGATTTCTCACTTTCCACCTCTCTCTGGTGAGTGTACGTGCCCTATAGCAAAAATCTTAAGAAAAAAAAGGGGGGGATATAAAACATATATAGCACACACTAGTGTTATCTGCCTTTATTGACTGATCGATTGATTTTTGCTATAAGGCATCTGCGATTGCAGGGTAGCAGGGAGAGGCTACACTACAATCCCTTCTACTCCATTCTCCTCGGAAATTTGGGCACACAGGCACCTGTGCCAGAGTGACTTTGAAACCACAGTTGGAGTGGTGTGGGACTCCAACCATGCCAACCCTTCAGTGGGCCAGCACCTTAACCTCCACACCACCTGCTGGCCCAGGCTGCTATCTTTAAGGGGATGAAAAACATCTCCCAGGTGGCGTGTTGATTAAGGTGCTGGACTCCCATGTGAGTGACCACGGTTGGAGTCCCGGACTTGGCAGGTTACTTTCTCACTTTCTCTCTCTCTTTCTCTGGTCAAATTAAATAATAGCAAATGGAATTAAATAAATAGTTATTAATTAAAAATCTCTCTGCCGCATATCCGTGTCTGAGAGGTGGCCCGCTGTAAGAGCGCATCTGTTGGTCAACCACGAACCACACAATGAATGCATGCACGCATCACCGCCTGTCGGAACCTGCAACAATCCTCACCGTAAGGGCCCGAAGAGGTTGGCTCTTTTAAGTCCTTCTGAACACCCACCTCTGCGCGCCCTGCCCTTTAAGCTCACGTGCCCCAGGCGGTGTGGCGCCCCGGGCAGAGGATCACGGGTGGAGAGGGCCAAGCCAGAGCCCCTGCAGAGGGCAGCGGCGAGGTGGGCCAAACCGCGGACCTCCCACCGCACCGCGGGACCCTGCGGGAACCAGCCGCTTCCGCCTCCGAGCAGCGCTTCCGGGCGCCGCCGGGCAGCCTGCGCTTCCGGGCCGGCAGATTCCGCGCGCCCGGGCGCGGAGCGGCACCAGGTCCCTGCGCTCCGCGGTCTCCCCACGCCTGCCCCACTGTCTTGTGCATGTTC